CGGCGAAGAGGTGGGGAATGGAGGGCCTGAGGCAGCAACTTCCTGGCTGTGGCTGGTACTCTCCAAGGCACCGTCACCCGACGACAATTCAATGGGCTCGTTCCACAGTGTGGGATTGGGCTCCTGGGGACCCTCTGCTGCAAAACCAAGGTCAGGCAGTGGGGCTCAGGTGGTCTGCAGGCAGGGATGCGGACCTTCCCCACCACATCAGTCGAGCGATGCCCGGCTGCATCGGCCCCCAAATTCCACAGGGTGAGGCACCTGGCTGGGAAATCCACTCCTATGTTTGGGAGACCATCCCACTTGTGGCCCGGAACACCCACTGAGGATTCAGGTTACAGAAGGACGGATCGGAATGGGCAGAGAGGCAGGGGCAATTGGGAAAATGGGGATTCCTCTGTCCCTCAGGGCAGACACAGCTCCATCTTCCCCCCAGGGCAAAAGCTGAGAGTCAAGAACCTTTGAAAGTGCCACCGCTACTCGATCCTGGCCCACCCAAGCCACAGCCTCAGATCAGGAGACCAACCTTGGGCATCTAACAGCCCCTCCTCCAACCCAAGACAAGTACATTGCTGCCTGGGAGAGGGGGGGATGATGAAGGAAAGGCGACCGGCAAAGGGAAGGGAGGGTCTCACACTCCATCAGTCTCAGTCTGCACATGGGTCCCTGAGTGGCCTTTTCACCAAGAGTCCTCTACCTCTGGGGCTGGGAGTCAGCAGGTTTGGGGGTACCCAAGGGATCCCAGAGGGAAGGAAGGAGACAGGAAGCCAAGATGTATGAGAGTGGTGTGACGTTTCTACCTGCTCTCCTACCTCCCCTGAACACACACTGCTGTGAGGCCCAGAGCACCACACATCTTTGAACCAACCTCCTCCCCAAGACAGAAGTTCAAGACCAGGCTGGTCATAGGCTCTAAGATTTTCCTTCAGCCTGTTCCCCTGGCATCCCAGCTGGTCCCTGCTCATGCCCTGACCTCAACTGGGAAGGCAAGTGATCCAGGAACACCCCAACCAGGTCCTTCACATAGGCCCAGTGGATATCATCTCACCATCTCATTAACTCTAGCTGCTTGTGGCATAGGGACCATTTTATCCCTAATTGGAGACGAGAAAGTCAAACGCTTAGTTAGGTTAAGTGGAGAGAGCCATGATGGGATGGTTCACAGCCCTGGGCGGCTGATGATGGCTGTCTTCTGACAGACCTCCATTAAAACTGCACCTCTCTTACCAGCCCAGTCACAACCGGCCATAACCTGCAAGTCCCTGGGACTCCTCTGAGCCAGGGGCTCCATGTCTGGGTGCCCCCCCCCCGTGTGTGTATGTGTGGGTAGGCTCAGCACAGTGACTGCTCAGGATAGAGCCAAGGGACTTGTGTGTTTCTGCCCATGGTGTCCACCTAGGGCAAACAGAACCCACAGCCAAAGGGACTCCAGTCAGCCTCAAAATAACCAAGTCATTCAAAACTGCCAAGGTCTGGGAAGGAGAAGAATCTGTGACCAGGACAGGGGAGGGGTCAGATGTCCTGTCAGAGACTCTGGGTAAGGCTGGTAAGAACCGTGCTAGGGTCCCTGTCCCAGTTTGATGCCACATTCTGGTTAGGAAAAAGAGTGTCTTTGTTCTTAACTGAACAACTCAGGATAAATGATGTCAGCAACTTTGGACTGCTCCTGCATTTGGGGTCAAGGAACAGTGTGGCAAATGTTGGTAACTTATAACTAGGTAAAGAGTAGTTTGGCAAACGTTGGTAACAAATGTTGGGAACTGGTAACTAAGTAAAGGCTTTGCTGGGGTTTGGTAGATAATTTTACAACTTTTTTCTTTGTAAAATTGGAATCTTCACTCTAAGATTTTGGCAGACTCCTGCTCCCTAGGTTCCACTGTGAATCCTCTCATAACCCTGGACCGAACTTGTAGACTCAGCTTGTAGGCAGGGACTACTGTCCTGTGTAATGGGGCATCCCAAGACTAGGACCCCTTTTCAGAAAAGACTGGTAAGAGGCCTCCAAAGACTGTTGTCGCCCACCTCAGCAGGCCTCCCACTAACCATGAAGAGCCCTCTGTAAAGAGGCAAAGTGACCTGGTCAGAGAAAGTAGTGTTTACAGCCTGAGAGTCCTCATGAAAGGCCTTAGCCTCAAACAGTCTGACCTCAGACTACCAGGGCTGGACAGAAAGCCCTGAACATACCTGCCATATAGCAAGCCCTGAGGTCTGGGCTTTGTAGATTGCCAGTCTGCCCTGAGGCTCTTCAGGACACACCCCAAATGGTCAGGCAGGCAGGCAGGCCTCTTCCTATCCCATCTCTCCTGGCCAAAGCTCACTTCCAATGCCAGGAAAGCCGCCCAAGGATTCTGAGTATCAGGCCTAGCTCCCCTAAGCGGTGCCTGTTTTCTGGACAGAGACTGAGCCTGCCGCAACCCACCAAAGAAGGAGGGGCTTCTGCAGGCCACAGCCCAGGCCTTATCTTGTTTTCCTACCACTCAAGCCAGACCCCTCTTAGTCCTCCAGGAAGCTAGGAACTATGGGTCAGTGTGCCAGCGGGAGAGTGGTGAGGATGAGAAGAAGGAGGGCCAGTCCAGGGCCCCAGGAGCAGGGTGTGGAGGGAGCAGGCTGAGTGACAGCATTTGAGGATAAGAAAGGGAGACATGGCAGGGGACTCCTGAGAAGGCTCAGACCACCTTGGCCACAAGAAGACCCCCATATTAGTGTGAGCAATGTCACAGAACTTTCTGTTCTGACCGAGGAGACATGGTGTCAGTGCCACAAGCTTGAACACCTCAGGCTGTCCCCTGGCCCCACCACCCCAAGCTGCTCTGCCTTTTGGTAAATAAGTTTGTTCAACGGTTAGTCTGACCACAGGCCCTGAGGCCAGGCGCCCATGCTCACAGTCGGCCTTTGTGCAGCCATGAAGAGCCTTTTCATCCCCATCCTGGCCCCCTGCCCACTCAACCTGGCCTGCTCCTCTACCTCGGTGGCTATGGCCACCAGCTGAGTCAGGGAGGGTGGCAGGCTGGCCTGTCCCCAACCCCAGGACTACTCCATCTCCTCTTTCCTGCTACAGGACTACAGCCCAGGAGAGAGAGATGGGGGCTGTGGACCTTGTACACACCTGCTCAGACCTGTGGGTCTAGTGCTGGTTCTGAGAACCTCCTGTCTCCCTGCTCCCAGGACAATCAGAACCCCAAGACTCAATTGGCGTGCTCACACCTGCTGTGAGCCTGCTGGGTTTTTTTTTGGGGGGGGCACCCATGGAAGGAAGAGGTAAGTGAGGTCAGTTGAGGTCCTGGCTATTCCCAAAGCTTCTGTGGAAGCAGAAAGCCCACCCACCAAAGTTGTGTATACACAGCATGACTGGGGCTCTGGCTAGAAGCTTGAGCTGGAAGAGGCAGCAGGAACCTGGGCTGCAGGGCTTTGCCAAGCAACTGCTTCACTGTGGCAGGAAGCTGCGGGTCCCAGGTCCCAGCCCCGGGTCCCAGGTGATGGAAAATATCTCCCAGCACTGTAAGTCATATCTCCCAACATTAGGGGTACCTCTGGCTAAATTGCCAGGCACTGCTCCCACCCCCAAAAACTGGGTATGTCCCAACCTGTGCGAAGAAATGGTTCTCCCAAAGGCCCCTTTGGGCTTAGCTGAAGGACTTCAAACTCTGCCCAAACCCTGAAGACAGATTGAGGGTTGACTAAGCACTTGCCACCCTGAGAGCCTGGCCTGTTAGACCTGGTGAGGGAGGAGGGCAGTGAGTGTCACCCACCCTGTGCAGATGAGGAAAGAGGTAGGAGGTAGGCAGGCCAGAGCCCGGCCTTAAGTTACTTTCTAGGGTGACTGGGGGAGCAGAAAGGCCCATGACCACCATCACCTGTGTCTCCTAGAGTGAGGCTGGGAGTTTCCAGGCCCTGCTGTCACGACAGAGGTGACTTCTCTGCTTCAGAGGTCCGCAGAAACCCCTAAAGTTCAGACTGCAGTGTTTTAAGACCATCGGGGACCCAAGAGGTAGGCTGCCCTTCTGCCAACTACTGAACAGCTGCCGAAGGTTTATTCCCACGTATTTGTGCCTATGTCCCTGCTCTGAAGCTGACCTGGAAAAGCCCTGCCATGCTGGCCCTCTCATCAGACCCCAATACAGCCATCTAGGTGTCAGTGCAGTGTCCTTGACATTCTGCAAAAGGACTCAGAACTATTTACCTCTATGGGAGCAGCACCTAGGTCGTAAGCTCTCAGGGAAGTGCTTGCAGAATTTAAAGGAATTTCAAGTCGCTGGATTTTCTGACTAGCAGCTGGGCTCTGGCCTCTTAGCCCTTTGCCCTTTGTCTGATGAGCCCTCCTGCTTCCCAGATCCAGAAGCCTCTAGATGTTCTTGTGACAAAATACCCCCCAGAACTCCAGACAACCAAATGTCCTTGGCTCCGATACCCTGGTTGCCCTCCTATGCCAATGGCCACCCATCCCTGCTGCTAACAGTTCCCTGACACATCATCTTATCCAGATTCTACCAGCCAGCACTGTGGGAACCCCTCTCTGCCCCTCAAAATCACCACATCTGGGCATCCCGCCTCTTGTGAGGGGCTTGTGCCCTGCAGATACTGGAGAATCTGGTCCCATTGGTAATTGTTGGCTCTGAAAAGTTGGTAGCAGTAGATCCAAAGGTCTGTGTCCCTTACCTGTGAGCACCGCAGGGGCTAGGACCCCAGAGATGAGCAGCAGCGCCATGTGCAGGGCCAGACAAGATGCCATCCTGGCAGTGAGTGAGCAGTGTGTGGGACACAGAGGACTAAGCGGCTGGGCTCAGGCAGCGGGAAAGAGGCTTCAAAGAGCTGGGGAGGGTTTTCATCAATGCAAACTCTGTCCTCCTGGGACACCGTGCCCGCCCCACACACAGGCACGCGCGCGCACACACACACACATGCACACACAGACAGAGAGAGAGAGGAGAGAAAGGGAAAGAGAGAGGGAGGGAGAATAGAGAGAGAGGGAGAGGCAGAGGGAGAGAAAGAGAGAGAGAGAGAGAG